ATGTTGAAGGTCATGAAATAAATAACATGCTAAATCATAGAAATTTAGGGTTGGAAGGGAACTCAGAAGATCATCTAATCCATCCCCTGCTCAAAGCAGGACCATCCCCAACTAGATTATCCCTGCCAAAGCTTTGTCTAGCTGGGTCTTAAAAGCCTCCAAGGGTGGAGCTTCTGTCACCTCTCTGAGTAACCTGTGCGAGGGGGTTATTAACCTCCTAATGAAGAAATTCTTCCCAATATATATCCTAAACTTCCCTTGCTGCAACTTGAGATGGTTGCTCCTTGTTCTGTCATCTGCCACCACTGAGAACTGTCTTGCTCCATCCTCTTTCGAACCCCCCTTCAGGCAGTTGAAGGCTGCTATTAAATCTCCTCTCAGTGACCTCTTCTCTAGATTAAATAAGTTCAATTCCCTCAGCCTCTCCTCAGAAGTCATGTGCCTCAGCCCCCGAACCATTTTTGCCCTCCACTGGACTTTCTCCAATTTGTCCACATCATTTCTGTAGTGGGGGGCCGAAAATTGAACACAGTCTTCCAGATGTGGCCTCACCAGTGCTGAATAGAAGGGAAGAATCACTTCCCTTGACCTACTGGCAACACACCTACCAATGCAATCCAGTATGCCATTAGCCTTCTTGGCAACAAGGGCACACTGCTGGCTCATGTTCAGCTTATTGTCCACTGTAACCTCGTGGTCCTTTTCTGCCGAACAGCTCCCCAGCCAGTCAGCCCCCAGCCTGTACTGGTGCATGGGATTGTTGTGTCCTAAGTGCAGGACTTTGCAGTTGTCCTTGTTGAACATCATGAGAATTCTTTTGGCCCAGTCCTCCAATTTGTCTCTTTCTGAATCTTAGCCCTACCCTCCAGTGTCTTTACTACTCCCCACAGCTTGGTGTCATCTGCAGACTTGCTGAGGTTGCACTCCATGCCATCTTCCAGGTCACTGATGAAGACATTGAACAAAACAGGTCCCAGGACTGACCCCTGGTACACTTGACTTGATACCAGCTACCAAATAGACATTGAGCCATTGATTACTACTCTCTGAGCCCTATGTTGTGGGAGACTGTATCAAAAGCCTTGCTAAAATCAAGGTACACTATATCCATTGGTCTCCCTGCATCCACAGAGCCAGTCACCTTGTCATAGAAAGTAATCATGTTGGTCAGGTATGACTTGCCCCTATGCTGACTGTTCCTGATCACCTCTTTCTCCTCCAAGTGCTTAGAAGTGGATTCCTTGAGGATCTGCTCCATGATTTTTCCAGGCACTGAGGGGAGGCTGACTGGACTGTAATTCCATAGATCCTTCTTTTTCTCTTTCTTAAATATGGGCACTGGGTATGCCCTTTTCCAGTCATCTGGGGCCTCTTCTGATTGCCATGAGTTTTCAATTATGATAGCCAGTGGCTCTGCAATCACATCAGCCAATTCTCTCAGCACCCTTGGGTGCATCCTGTCTGGCCCCATGGACTTGTATATGTCATATAGTGCATCTGTCTTGGAAGTGGCATAAAAAATAAGACTTCTGGCTCCTATTCCTGTACTCCCTCTTGTTGTAAAATATTTTACAAGATATATCAACAATCTGTTATGTGCTTCTGACTGAGATATGCAAGTTGCATTTCTAAACTTAGGATAGAAGTTAAGGGAAAGGCCAGCTCCTACCACTGAGTTATTGTCCTGTTGAAGGGAAGCCATATAGCATGGTAGTTGCAAGGCTGTGGTACATCATGGGAGAGGTATTATTGCCAGGAAGCCTGGCCCATTGAGAACAATGGGGATATGAGCCCCCAAAAGACTACTCTCTCCTTGGGTCTTGTGTCAGCATTTCAGAAGCCGAACAGCCAAATTTTAGAAGTCAAAAAGCCACATTTCAGAAGCCGAATTGTTCACTTTAGAAGCTTTCATTTTTTTTTACAACCAAAATTTGGAAATTCATTTAAAAAACAGATGCTTTTCATCATCGTTGTCATAATCCTCACCATCATCATAGCTTATGCAAAATCCCAGTTTTCCATTGGGGAAAAAAAGTTTTGACAGAGAAGTTTCAACTACTAGCTCAGGTTCTTATTTCTAGGGGAGCACAGTGAGTGTTGCCCCTTTTCCCAGATGCTACTCCTGGAATAGGTGAGGTGACCTGGGATGGTAGAAGGGACTGTTCAGAGGTAAAACCAAACCAAAAATGAAATATATATCATCATGTTATATGTATTAGCAAATAATTAAGTGCTACTTTATATGAATGAGTGTAAATTCTTGGAACATCAGTAAAGAAATTGTAAGACCTCTATGTATTAGTGAAAGAGGTGTCTGATATTCCAAGTTAGCTGAAGTGTGCAAGATTTCCCTAGGGGGTATACCCCTGAGGAGATTCATCCATACAGGAGCTCTGCTAAGTAGATTACTCAGTGGAATATAAATAAAATGGAGAGATGGGAAGAGGCAAAAGACACTTTTTTTGATCAAACCCATGCTCCTTCTGTGGCTTGTTCAGCTGATAGCATTTGACAAAGGAACCTCTTTAACATGCCTTCTGGAAAATTACAATGTGTTGCTGTAACTCCATTGTGCACAGAGTGTAGTGTTCCAGTTAGGGGTGACAGATAGGCACATATGGATCCAAGTATATTATTTGCTTAAGGATTCTTTTTAGGTACCGATTGCCATAGTATGTGGATGCAAGTCATGCACCCTCCTCCCCCACCACACACACCTCCGGTTGTTCAGAAGCTTAACCAGAATTATATATTGAACCATGTTCTGAAACTCAACAAACTCAGGTTCTACAAGACACCCAGGGAGCTTGCTTTATAGTCATGTATTTTCCACTGAAAATGTTTTCCCTTCAGTTCTCTATCATGCACAGCTCAGGACATTTGGCAAAAATGTACCCCAGCCTCAGCCTCTGCTACTCATAAGGTATGTAGGTCCCCTATTTATGAGGGGCTCTAAAGATTAGTACTGATGACTTTAATTGCATTAGGACACATGGAAAGCCCATGCAAAGCCCTGGAGAGATGAGGTAAGTTCTCTGAACCTACCGGAGAATCCAGAAAACAGGCAAAGGTAAAAAAAATGAGCTTAAAACTGGAAGTGGGTTTTTTTTTGTAAACTATCCTTCCAGTCAGCTTCACCTCTTATTTTTTTCAGTACTGGGCTTCAGGCATGCTGTTCTCATCCAGGCTCCTTTGTGAGCTAGGTACATGGAAAGAAAGGAATAAGTGCCAATAGGATTTGAGGTAAAAGAGCTAACAATGACTACTGTGTGAACAGCACTGAAGCTTAAAAGCTTCCCTCTCACCCATTCATAGGGTAAAATGACACAATGGAACCTCTAGTTAAGCCCCAAGGGGCGCCTGTACACACCACAGGTTTGAATCCTCATTAAATTAAAAATAAAATTATAAAATTTAAACTTGCTTATTTTGGAGTGTCACATCTGTGTTTATACACACTAGGTTTTTCAATGAATTAAGCCGGGTCCCTGGCCAGTGCCGCAAGAGAGTGGGACTGTCCAGCACTGCCCCCCTAGCCCAGGGTCCCCCACCCACCCTGTGCCCTGCCATGCAGCTTTGGAAGCAGGGAGCTGGCAAACCACACAAGAAAAAAGAAAGCTGAAGCAATTCAAAGGGGTGAACTAAAAAAAAGTTGCAGCACCATGTGATGGACAAAGAGGCTCATTACACACCCTTGAGTACCTTTGTGTTTGCACGCAATGAATCCATGGACATGACACTTTAATTCCCAGCGAGTCAAACTAAACTATAGCTGAGGATTTTTAGCCTACTGCACAAGAAAGACTTTTAAAGCACTGGTAAATCCCACTCGTGCAAATAGACATGCAGTTGCAGCGCATGGAAGGGCAAAAACTGTGGTGTGTACATGAGCCCAAGAAGGATCATGCAAAGGATGAGACTTCACAGGAAGGAATAAAGACATTGAGTAACAAAGCCCTGCTACCTACCAGAGCTTTCCAGCTTGTCAGAAACATGTTCAGTACATCTTGGCTAGCCAGATTACAGGTTGATGATAGATCTAATTGAATCAGCTTAGATGCTTGACCTTTAAAACTGAACCCTTGACAAGAAGTTTTTCTCTTGAATTTACTGCAGTGTCATCAAAGAGTTGCAATTTAACAAAGAATGAATCCAGGTATCACGTTAATGATTCAGTGGATCAGGGCTGTTTGAAAATTAGAACATCTCATCCAAGCCGATGTATCAGTATTACCCAAAACTAGATTTTGGTAGTATTCATTTCTTGCAAAAAGATGTTTAAATAAGTGAGGTAACTGGGAAGGACATTCTTGTGTTCAAGATGCAGATTTAGATCGGGAGAGTCGGGTTTATTCTCTGTCACTGGAAGCAAATCACTTCATTTTTCTGTTCCAGTTGCCTTGTCTATATAGTAGGGATTGTAACAGGGTTTTTTTTTCCTACAGATGGGTATTGTGAGAGTTGATTAATTAATGTTTGCAAATTGCATTGGGATCCTTGAATAGAAGGTGCTTAACTGTAGGTGTTAGGGGTTGTTGTATGGTCAAACAGGTAAGGCAGAGTCCTGGGATGCATGAGTCTGGGGTTCCTTTCCCAGCTCTGTTACTGAGTGGCATTGTTTCCACTCTCATCTCTTGTCTATTTATAATGTTAGTCTTCCAAGTAGGGGCCGTCTCCTATTTAGTCTCTCCAGTAGGGGGAGAGGGTAGTTATCTCAGTGGAGGTCTTATGGACACTCCTAGAATACATACAATAATCAGTGTGTTGAAGAAAAGGAATATTATAAATCTAGACGAGAGAAGAGCAATTTTCAAGTGTTGTCAGCAGTTGCCAGGGTATCAGTGTGAAGAGGTTTTGTTTCTTAATGCTCTGGGTTTTTCATCTCAGTTAAAACCAGGCTGTGGAAGAGAATTCACTGAGGACATCCCATGCTTACTCTTGGCCTGAACTTTTCCAGTGTGAAGCCACAACTTTAGATCTGTTTCTTTTCCCTTTGACAGAAAGATTTCGGGATTTGCTGCTTCCACACTGGAGTCAGGACACAGAGATTCTGCCCATCTTTCATCAAAGGCATTACCCCAAGTAAGTAAAAATGCTTCCTCAGGAGAGCAAATCTTTATACATTTGTAGTCAGGGAGGGAAGCACTGATAGCACAAGCAGATGCTTCAGTGTAAACTCTTTAAGGCAGAGCTGTCAGGGAGCCTCCCTTGGAATAATCCCTGTGCTCTTCACAGCAATGTCAGGAAGAAGCAGACATGCCTTGCAACCGCACCCAGCTGTCACTGAGAAGTCAGTGGCAGAGAGCAGATGATAAGCTGCAGGGATCAGTGTCTGGTGGAGCCTCATTTCACTTGACACTGTGTGTCGACATAGGCAGATGTTTTGTCAGGCTAATCCCTGCTCTTGTCTTGTGGGATCCCATCATTTATGCTGACAGATTCATTTGGATTTTAACAAGCTACCCTCCGGAAACATGTGAGCACTAAAAACAGTTTTACTGCCCTCGTTAGGGATGTGTGGGCAGGCAAACTAAAGGCACAGCCCTATGCATTAGGAACAGGCAGTACCACGTCCCTTATGTTATGGTTCCTGCAGTCCTCGGAGGGATGTGGGGGAGTGGAGCACTTTCCTCAGTTAGAGAGCTGCTTTGTTTCCATGCTCAAATCATGGAAAGGTTTTAATGTGCTTTTACGCTGCCGCCCAACAAAAGCCCATATGGTGTTGTTTTGTTGAGCATCTTACACAACACCTCTTCCCACAAAGCCAATCAATAGCCAAATTAAATAATAAAAAAAAACTGGGTTTTTTTGCTGAGTTAAAACAAATAACAGAGGGAGCATTGAAATGATGTTCAAGGGAACGGGGGCACTGTCAGGCCAGCGAGGCTGAAAGCTGCAGGACGGTTGTTCCAGGTGGCAGGTGTTGCAGAAGAGAAAGTTCTCTTGCTAACTCTTGCCAGATTGTGAGGAAGGGAGAGGTGAAAGGCATTAGGTGAAAAGAGGGAGCAGCGTGGGGATGAGAGGTTTGTGATCACTGCTTGAGCATGTCTAGGAATGGTGATGAAAAGAAAAGGTATTTTTTTAACTGAATCATGAAATGGACAAGGAGTTGATAAAGCTGGAAGAGTATAACCCTAAGGATACTGTAAATGAGGAAGAGTTATTTTTCAGAATGGGCCATGATTAGGTTGGTTGGCTAACTAAAAATTGACGTGGTTGGTCTGAAATACTGGCCCCGGGGAATCCAGTGAAAATTCCCCCACTCCTCCCCTGATATTTATCTTGGGTATTTGCACTACCTGTTGTCACACAAATCCCTGAGCATTTCCCATGTAAGATACATGAGTAAGCATGAAGTGCCTAGTGACCTTTACAGAGTCTCTGATCCTGCTCCCTTTCTGTAGGCTGGACTTCTACTTGGGTTGAGATTTTTGCCTTATTTATCATATTTCATTAACAGTTTTGAAAATCCTGACTGTAATCATCTTCCTGCCTGGCTCTTTTGGTTAACACTTAAATGCTCTGGAGCCCACTGTAGCTGGTCGCCCTATGTAGCATTGATAGCAGTGATGGCAGCTTCAGGTTAACTGGATTCCAATAATGTTTTGTGAGAAATTATGTGCTAATAAGGAAAAGATGAAACGGGGCTGTATCTTTTTTTTATATCATAATGTGTGTAACCCTTCTGCCAGACACTGGTCAACAAGGCCGGGTTCAAATTTTGGGGTACCCAATAAGCTTTCACTGTGTCTCAAGCCCTCACTGAATTTGGCTGGAGGGGCCTGCATAAACAATTCGCCCTCCTCACAAGCAGTATAAACACCAAGGACAGATGTATTACAGAAAACAGAGGCAAGGAAAACAAAAGAAAAAAAAGATGCAATTTAAAATACTATCAACTACAAAGTACAGCCTCTAGTTTGCACCCCTTTTGGGGAGACTCCAGCCACACCAAGGCAGTCTGAGATGTGGGGGCTCACTAGGGTGGCCGTTGAGGTACCTCAATAATAGAGAATAGTTGCATTTAATGCAACTGGCCCCACCACCATAAACGTTGCGTGCCTCTGGAGGCTTGAGGGGTATGGCGAGCTCCTGCAGGCGGCGGTGGTGGTGGCGGGAGCATGGCGGTGGTGAGTGGGGAGCTCCCGCAGGCAGCGGTGGTGGTGTCGGTGGTGGGAGCATGGTGGCGGTGAGTGGGGAGCTCCCGCAGGCAGCCATGGCGGTGGCAGCACCAGGGCGGGCCAAGCAGGGAGCTCCCGCAGGCTGCCGCAGTGGTGTCAGTGGTGGGGGTGGGCCAGGTGGGGAGCTCCCACAGGCGGCCATGGCGGTGTCGGCGGGGGGAGGCATCCAAGCAGTGAGAAATAGAGGACATAAAGGCATCTGGTTTCATATCAATAGATGACAGAGGACCAGAAAACCGAACTGTCCTCTATAAAATCAGACGAGTGGCCACCCTAGGGCTCACCCAAAGGGTTAGTTTTGGCCTGCACCCCTATACCTGCTACTTAGGAAAGTCCTGTGACCTGCTCCTTGGGTTTCACTGCATCTTGGGGAGCTGCTACTGAGTGTGGGGGGTCCTTCTGCAGCACAAGGGACCCCTTGTTGCTCCCTGGGAAGCTGCAGAGCAGCAGTTTCCATTTCCACATGGTTGATTTGCAAGGGCGGGGGGGGAGTTGACCGCCCTCAAGAATTGCTAGTCCCAAATCCCACAGCTCCAGCTGGAGCAGAAAACTGCAAAAGAACTCAAAAGAAAAGAAACTGGGTCTATCCTGGTTCTTGGGCCTGGCCTGCAGATGGGCTCAGCTACCCAGCTAGGCTGAGGCACAAGGACTGCTACAGCAAGAACAGGTACCAGGCTGTAATCCTGGAGGTTTGTCCCAGGAATTAATACCCCCATGGTATTATCCCTCCCCAAACCCAGGAAAGCAAAGTGAATACAAAGAAAGGGAGAGGAGAGGAGTCCCAGACTCAGAGACTCCCTCACTCCTCTGTACATGAGACTTGCCCTTCACGTAGGCTTCTCTCCAGGGTCCCCCAACCTCCAGCTCCCTCTTCTTATGTACCTGGTCTGACATCACCCCAAGTATCAGGTGAGGGGTTGCCAGATTTCTAGTTTTTCCTCTTAACCAATTTATTTGACAAGAACACTGCCCAGTTCAGCCAATGTGGCCAGGGGTCTGATTTTCCCTGCTGTTACCTGACGGAAACTAGTTTCTTGTTTCCAGTCCACAGCAGGGTGTCATAAACAAAAGCCTCAGGTATCAAGACACAGCAGGCCATCTGTTCTGCCTAGTGCACAAGCAAAGATGAGAGGAGAGAAAACCATGAGTATGTACAGCAAAGCAGATACAAGAAAGCAAACAAAAAACCCCCAAAAAATTATATATAAACTAAAACCAAATACTTAACACACTTGACAGTACAAAATTACTTGTACAGTTTGTGTTCTACATGTAAAAATGGATGTATTTATTGCTGGCAATGAGTCGGGTTCTGTAATGAATGGCCAGACTTGCTGAGCTGCCAGCCATCTGTAGGTCTTTCTGAATTCACTGGGCACTGCAAGTACTTAGGTAGCAGCATAAATTTGTGTTCATTGTAATCTTATGCTGTTTGTAGTATTGAGTGGTGATGCTGGTTGAAATGTTCATTGTTCTACATTTATAGAACCCTGACAGACATTAACCTTAAGACTTGACCAGGGATCCTGGTTTTCTCTGATTAAAAAAAACAAACAAACCCAAGTTTTAGATTACAAAAAGTAACCCAAAATTCACATTTTTCCATGATCAAAATGAATTACC